GCAAGTAGCATTGAATGAAAATTTCAAATATGTTTCACAAGTTCATTTGCAAAGTATGCCTAAATTATGTCACAATATCAGGTATTGTTCTAAATTGCTTCAAGGATTATTAAAATATGTATAAGAAATGTATTGGCGTTCGAAGTTTGTAATTGACTTAAGATATTTGAGGTTATTCTCAGTCAAAATCAGTGGCGTACATAGCAACAAAACTATTATTTATAATTTATGACCCACCGGTGGGTCATGCCGTCGTCAATGTGTTAATTCTATAACTCAAGTATAGATGGCGTAACACAAATTAACCAAAACTTCCATCATTTACTATGATTATCTATAAAATATTGAAAAAAAAAAGATACCTTTTTGAAGTAACCTCCATGGAGACGCATGTGTCCATTCAGAGCCGGTATATTCTTGAACTTCCTGTGACAGAGATTGCACTCGACCGGTTTCTGGTCGGCCTTCGCCACCGTCGTCGTGCTTGTCGAGTTGCTGCTGGAGCTCACCTTCGAACTCGTCGACGAAGATGTTGTCGAACTGGACGTCGAACTGTTGCTGTTACTCGACCCTTTGTTCGAACTCTGAACAACAACAACAACAAAAATTTTAACAAAATAACATCAAAAACAGCTATACTGATCTATGCATTTTTATAATAATTGAAAGTTTTCAGAAGTGCTGCTTTTCAGAGGCAACAACAGCAATATCATAACGCGATCAACAAGAAAAGAGAAAAAAAAAAACAAAGAAGCGGAACGAAAAGGCGCACTTTGCGAGTAATATTTTATATACAAAAAGCCACGCGATCTAGAAATAAGGGCAAACAGATTTTTCTCTTGTACTTGAGATCAACGGGATGACTGTGATTACGTTACAAAAAAAAACTTTTTACATTAGTATATCTTAACTTCAAATGTCAAGTGTCAAATTATGAAAGACGTCAAACGGATAGGTTAATTAATGACAAGTGACGTTTGTTTGAAGAAACGCCATTTTGATTGCTATGTCAATTTATGTTTTCTTCTGTCAATTCAATTTACGTTATGTTTTGGGGCTGGCTTTTTCACTGATTTCATCCATCACTTCACCTCAATCCCAACAGAGGGAGATAGGATTAGTTGATGAAGAGATGTTGGTGGTTGATCAAACCGATGAATGACCAATACAACAAGCCTCGCCCTTGCACAATCCCTACTATCTAGCATGTACGCTCGCGTCCCAACAAAACCTCACCACCAAATCCCCCGCTTTTTAGCGCATTAATAACAGTAGCAGCAGCAGCAGCAACAATAACAGTAATCGCCCGTCGGATCCGTCTTTGAACGAGCCGGGGATCGAAGCTGCTGCGATGCTGACCCATCCATACAACAACCAAACACATAATACAATACAACATAGAATGTACAGCACAGAACACAGAACACAACACTCGCACATCCCATCCGACACAATGCCTCCTGCGGCGAGTGGAGCGTTTGCGGCCGGCGGCGAAATTTCATTATGATATTAATTAAATTTAAATTTAATTAACGTTTCCGTTTAATGAGCCGCAGGTACACATTCGATCGGATCCAATTAACCGCGCGATACGTGTTTGCGATACGCGGATGCAGATTTCCGTACAACAAAATTAAAAACATTGACAGTCTTATGCGTCATCTATGAGAAAAATGTATACGAAACTCAAACTTTGACATATGTCAAAAAACAAATGTCAACTAAATTATTAAAATGACATGTGTCAACTGTCAAATTCGATGTGTCAATTGAAAAAAAAAAAAAAGCAATTATTCTTATTGTTGTTTCTCTTTTCTCAACATTTCTAATGCGATTATGCGAGAATACTCTATGACAAAATGTATACGAAACTCAAACTTTGACATATGTCAAAAAACAAATGTCAACTCAATTATTAAAATGACATGTGTCAACTGTCAAATTTGATGTGTCAATTGAAAAAAAAAAGAAGCAATTATTCTTATTGTTGTTTCTCTTTTCTCAGGATTTCTAATGAGATTATGCGAGAATACTCGTCGAAGCGAGATAAGTTTGGCAATTGGTGTTTTGCGTGTGCGGAGGCAATTAATTTCCATCGCTTTTGCATGCTCGGTCCGACGCGCCATCTCCGTTGCACCCACTCAACCATCTATATATGTTACTCAATTTCTCTGTTAGTCTATGTGTGTGTGTGTGTGTGTTTGCATTAAATGGGGGTTGAATTTTGCTACTAAGTGAACATTTTGAATAATGAATTCCCATTTCTATTGGCACAACACAACTTTCATGGAAATTGGATGCGAAACATCAAACGGCGTCCCAAATGGAAATTGAAATTTCGCATGCTCATACATATATGTATAGAGTGAGACACACACATATAGACAGACATTCGAGCTACTCAACCAGACCGTGTGCTCGCACAAAGGATGGAAACGGGAATCAAAGAGCAAAAAAACATAGCGTATAAAATAAAAGGGGAGGTAGTAATATATATGGACTGACCGATGAAGCCCTCTGGCTCTTGCTGGAGCTTTTGCTCGAGGATTTCGACCTGGAGGATTTCGATGGTGCGTGATGTGACTGCGGTTGCGGCTGATGACCGTGCGACTGTCTCTGAGTTTGCTCCATGATCTGGTGTATCAGGTCGAGTTGCTGCTTGGTGAGGCCGTCGTTGTTGCCGCCGCTTCCGTTCACGCTCTGCGAAAATGTTGAAATTGGAAATTAGATCTTGTACGCGTCGCGGGGTTTTTGCGTTTGTACCTTTACTGGTTCTGTGGCCAGCAGTTGCTGAAGATGGCTCTTGTTGGAGTTTGTGGAGCTGGTGGAGGTGGTCGGTGGAGGCGCGTATTGGATGCAGCTGGATCCGTGCGGAGAGGCTGCGTCTCCTGCCGCTGCTCCCTGCGCTGGTGACAGGGAGTTCACGGTGGTTGAGGTGGACGTCGTCTTCGAAGCTGTTGCTGTCGATGCGACAGATGGCGAGGATCGCGGCGACGTCGTCTTCGAAGACGTGCTCGTCGTCGTCGTCGTCGCAGATGTGATGCTCGACGTCGTCGTTGTCGTCGTCGTCGTCGATAAACCTGCAGAGGTTGAGGTACCTGAGGAGAAGGTCGGCGGCGACGGCGTCGACGACGACGATGATGATGACGACGAAGATGACGATGACGAGGATGATGAGGACGACGAAGACGAGGAGGAAGACGACGAAGAAGATGACGACGAAGACGACGACGATGAAGAGCTGTGATGGTTCTCCGTGTGTCTTCGGAGCGATCGGGCGTCGCAGTACGACTTCCCGCATCCTTCGGCCTTGCACTCGTACGGTTTCTTGTTCCGATGCGTCAGCATGTGACCATTCCTGAACAAACAAATATTCAAATTACAAATAACACAATCAAATCAAATTCATTAAAAAAAAAATAAGTAAAATCAGCGATTGGGGTACACCTTAATACATTTGTATGTGTCAATGACACGTGTCATAAATAAACGTCAAAATTGGATTCAATCTGACAAGTGACGTAAATGTCACCTTGATAGGTTTACATAGTATATTGAAATTAAACGAGTATAAATTGATTTCCAAGATGAAAATATGAAATAATTGGACAAGTGAGATGTTGCATCGACGACGTGGTGTATTGGTTGGGGAAATCAATTCGGGTCGTTTTAATAATTCAGACGATTCTCGATTGTTGCGTCCGACGCGCCAATTAACAATTCGCTAATCGATAATAATTGACAATCCGACGACAGGACAATTGATAATTCAGCGAAACTGATTCCCAAATCATCAGAGCAATAATAAATCTTCGTACACATATAGTTCAATCACTCGAATCACGTTAATTGACAACCAGACTTACAGATGGTCCTGACGTTTGAAGGCCTTGCCGCACATGTTGCAGACGTACTTCCTCTCGTCGCTGTGCGTCAGCTTGTGCTTCGCCAGTGCTGAAGCGTTACCGAAAACCTTGGCGCACACCTACAAAGAAACAAAGAAACAAACAAAAAAAAAACATATATTAATAATTGAACAGATTTGATTATTTTTTCTTTGTGCAGATTGGTATACCTGGCACTGCTGAGGACCTTGACGGTTCGGCGAAGCCGCTTTCGGTCTGGACCTCTTCACGCTCAACTTCACGACGTCCGACGTGGATGTGGACGTGGACACGACCTTCTTGTCGTCCGTCGAGGAAACTGTGAGGAATCGGAGAGAAACAAAGAATGTTAATTTTTTGAAAAAAAAAATTAATTTGAAGCATCCGTTTCCGGTTTGCTGAACCTCGTGAATTATGCAACATGCGCGACGCTTTTGCATGCAATCATTCCCTTCTCTCTTTTTCCCCACGCCTATTCACAAATACACACACACACATTTATGCAACCACATGCACACTTATACAACACCTGCGCAAATTCCGCAGTTAGCGCGAGAAATACTCTTTTTTTATATATATATATCCACGCAGCGTTTCATTTCAGTCCGGTTTAATTTAACGTGCTTTTTTTGTTCCTCGCTGCACGTTAAATTCAAATTAACCGCCTTGTTGGCGCTTTCATATATATATAAATATATTTTCAGCTGCAATTTTATTAATTTCCACCATCTCCATACAGCGACATCTGTTAACCTAATTGCAGCACTTCTTTTCACGAAAGTATGCAATTTGCATTTTATTTATTAAACATTTATTATTTGACAATTTCAGTTTACAAATACGTCTAATACAAAGAAATCACTAGAATTGAATAACTTTTATTCTAATTAACGCAATATTTGAATTTGCCGCCATTTGTGCAGTTGGCAACCCCAAAAAAAGCAATTTGACAGCTGAGAGGAGTTTCTTATTTAATTGAAATCTTGCTTTAATATTGGAACACCCTTTATAATTTTGTTGATGTATGCAACTTGTAATACTTTCATAATATTTAACAGTTGGTAATTCTTCATTTTATTTTACTGACGTTTTAAAATTGTGTAACTTATATAACGAGAAAAAAGTGCGCAAGGTGAAGAAAATATTGTTAATTTGCAAGGTAAGTCAATTAGAAATAAGTTATTTTAGTGTAAATTGCAAAATTTTTATATTAATATCAATAAATTATATAATTAAATATTTGGTTTTTAAAGGTTACTGAGTGAACCACCAGTACCATGGCGTCGCCACTATATATTCAGCAATTTTGGTTGCATATATGTTTACATTTCATTGTGTTGACGCCCAACCAATTAGAAAATAAGTATTCAATTATATTAACAACAAAATCTTAATTATCAATGAATTTGTTACATTGTAATAGTATATTTATTACAACAGTTTAATGGATTTCAAAGTTTATTACATTAATTATAAAAATCAGTGTTAATTTGAAATTAATTTAACTTAAAAGTGTGTATCCAGAGAGTGTGGTTGCATACATTATAATATATAATTTAATGTATTAATCAATTAACTTAAAATTCTAATTCAATATTATTAAAGCTAAGTTGGTTTGCTGTTTTCTCTATAAAAATATTTTGATAATGTTTTCTTTGAATTTTTTGTTGATTGTTGATGATGTTCTAAATTAGTAAAACGCATGCATCAACATTTCGTGTAGGCGGCAATGAGTGGGTCTGTTTATAATTAGTAAGTTAAGTAGGTGTTGAAGGCAAACGAAGCGGCATTAACATAATTATAGCTTTCGTAGTATCGTAAGTCCGTTCCCGTCTGAATGAACCTATCGAGGAAAAGTATATTAAGAATCAATTGGACGTGAGCGAAGCATGTTCGACCTACATAAGCTGATGTTGATGATCATCATCATCATCAACAACATAATGAGTAGTTGGTATGTGCATCTATTAGGAGCTTCGAGAGCCACTTCCGGAAATTCTCATCGTATACGTTTCTTGTTGTTACCGGCATATTCCTAAAGAGGAATTGGCGAGGAGGAGGATGAGTGAGGCACGTGGAAAAACACGGAGCTCTCTCGAGTGCCACTCGCTGATGAATATTTGATTCGACGCGCGGATATTTCGGAGGGTTGCACCACAGACCCCATATAAATTCACTTTGGGGAAGAAGGCTCGGCCTAGTTTATTTAACAGTCCGCTATTTATCTTAGCTCCGCTCCTCCACCAAAAACCACCCTCTTGCACTAATGTTGGGTTTACCCCAAAACAAAACAAAAAAACTCCGGTCCACGTAAATATTTAGACTATTTTCCCATTAATAAAACAAATTCTTTGACGCGTGATGATGGATGTTTTTTTTTTCGCGTTTCCGTTTCCGGTGGAATTAATTAACTGAAATATAGTTTCGCAGCTGCAATCCGAATTTTGCGGTTTGATACGCGCGCGCGACATGTGCGGAATTAACAGATGGCAGCACACGCAACTCCCCTAATTACAACGTACGACACCAATTATGCATCCAACCCTTTACGCTTCAACCCTTACTTTAGCATTTCTACATCATTATTATTGTATTAGTAATGTAAGAAACATGTGAATATGAGAAATTGCAAATCGATTGGATCCAACACCTCCCAACATTTATTTGCGTCGAATAAAATGGTACGTCTCGGGGAAGGTTTTTCTCCTTTCTTCTTCTCCTTTTTTTTTGTTGGTCGGATGCGTGCGAGGCGAAAGATAAATTTATTATTCGAAACATTCGTCTCGCGCGTTTCTGCGACGGGGAAAACCTCTCGCTCTAAGGAAATGGAAAATGTTGCGGGTTGAAAGGAGACGGAGAAAAGGAGAGACTGGCATTACTCAAAGCCCAAACAGGGAGACGAAGTATAACAAAAAAAGGACGGACACACATACACATATATATATAGAGAGAGAGAGAGATATAGCAAAAGGGGGATTTTCTGTATAAGTCTGCGTGTGCGGGGGAAACGAATTTTCCTTCTCAAGTGTGCGCACGCTTTATTGATTCACACAATATTTTCTCGATTCCGATATATTTATTGTTTCTTTTCCTCCTTCCCTCGATAGAAATTTATATATATATAAGAAACGAAAGGAATTATTGCTTGTTTGCTTTTTCTTTTTCATCCTCTCTTCATCCCTTCAAACAAGAACTACGACCGAACGTTAAAAGCTTCGAAAGCCCGGGTTTTCGTATTCCATAATCGTTAAATGTTCGTTTCTTTTTGCTTCAATTCGACTGTCTTTCCTTATTTCCGTAGCTGCAAAAAGTTAATTTCGTAACAGATTCGTAAATTCAGTTGCCTAATTTGTATTTATTTTAAATTTAAAGAAAATCTGGTTGTATACATTTTCTATTTTGTAAGTATATCTAAATTACAAAAATCGGATAGGATTGTCTAGTTTTGTAGTAGCAGTCACGTCCGAAACGTAGAAAATCATTTATCGACCGGTTTTCGGCGATTGCATTGTTTCTGTAATTTAATAACGGCAATTGGGGGTAGAGGATAAAAATTGTATTTCTGTATTCGCGTCGTCACATCGGAAACTGTAAGGACGGTTGCGTGCAAAGATAATGAAATCCTGAACGGAATACCAACAAAACAGAACAGTACTTATTTCGAGAAATAAAAAGAAAGGCGAAGAGGAAATATGAATTCCGAACGTGATCTCGCCCGTTTCATTTTCCGGCGCTGATCATCGCCTACTCGAGATAATCGAATCTCGGATCTAGTTTAAGCAAGCGTGTGCCTCTCCTCTCATAACTGAAGATGTTTGGCTGCGATAATGTATGGGGGGTTGCCGCGTTTATTGATATTGACAACGCTCCGCTACTAATGGAGTGCCTTTCGCAAAGAAACTTATTTCCTTCGGGAATTGTCAACAGAAGACTTCATCTCATAACTCAATTTTTCTACTTTCCTGCTTATCACAACAACAACAACAACAACAGAAAAAAAACACGTAGAAACGACAACAACCTGCTGCGGGTAAAAAAATATATAGAATGGAGCAATCTCCAAGGGGGCGAAAGTTTTCCATTAAATATTCATACAGAAACAAATCAAAAGTTAGTGGAATTTCGCATCCGATTTACATTTATACAAATGCGAATATTTCAGAGGGTAGAAAATTTACTAAACTTTCGGCGGTTACAATTTATTTTATATGTTTGCCGAAGCGTGGCGCTGTTAATTATGTTTAATATGTATGCAACTGTATACACGGCAATTACGTCGAAATTCGTGGGATTAGTGGGTTTCTACTTTGTATGTGTGTGTTTGTATTTTTTTTTTAATTAGTTTGGGGTTGCGGCTGTGTGAAAGGCTGAAGATAAAAGCCGGGAGATAACGCCGAAAATGTGGGATACGAAGATTACGGTGGGATTGTCGCGAGCGCTTGGTAAAATAATCATGAACGGACTACGTGATTTTATTATCGGAGGAGCACGGGGCATCCCCGGAGGGTGGAGGGGCGGGTTTCGCGCACGCCGCCCCCTGCATACGAAACTATTTCTAGTTCGATGTATAAAATAGAAGAAGAGGTGAAGTCGAGTGCAGGTGGGGTTAGAGATGGGCGGGTCATCTGCGTACCTGGGTCGGGTCCTTCGTTGGGAACGCCCATGCTGTCCGAGCTGTCATTGACGAAGGGCTCTGTCGAGTTGGTGAACGTCTGCGGCGAGAGCGTCACGTCTTGTCCGGCTGGCGAATCGAACAGGTCGAAGGTCGTCGGCGTTCCTCGTGTCGCCGACGTCGCACCACCACCACCCTCTGCACCAACTGAAACAAAAAAAAAACATTTAAATATCTTTAAATCAATTTGATGATATTTTACGTAAAAAAATAATTTCCGGTTTCACCGGAAAATTTACGTAATTTTATCGTATAAACAAACGAATGAGCTCAATTCACGCGTGTTTACATAACGAGAAGAAAACTTTAATTAAGTTTTGCTATAATTTCAATAGTTTACCATTTATTTGTTAATTTAAGTTTATCATTATGCAACCCAAATTGACGCGAATTAATGAATTCTGTTATAAAGTTAAGCTTTTGATGGATTCGGCATTATGAAGTAATAAGATTGAAGAGGATTAGTGAACTGAAACGTATAAGCAAACTAAAGTTGTGTGAAGAGTGCGCCAAAATGCATTAGTAACAAGGACATGTAGAATGAAAAAAAAAACGGAGAAAATAAAAAAATATGTGGAATGATCGTCTGGATCGGAGGGTTTTTTGCTCCTCTCCTACACTCCCGATTCTTATTATTCTCGAGGCCCTTATGGTCCTGAAAGGTTTTAACTTATGAACGCGCCCAATATCGATATCGCTCCATTCCTCTGAACGCTCCCCACTCGCCTCGAAACTAAAAGCAGAACTTGGAAATTTACGGCCCGATTTCCGTTTTCGCCGCAGTTTATTACGCGTTCGGTTGCATAAGCACTTTGGCGAGATTCAATATCTGCGATGGATTTTTAATTGGATTCTATTTGTTTTCATCCACAGAAGAAACGAGAATTTCGACGATTCATAAGAAATGATGAGAGGAGTTTCGTCGTTCGTTGTTTGCTCGATGAAAGAAAAAGCAAACAAATAAATAAGAATATGTGCACGAGAGCGGAGAAGCAGCGATGTTTACGTAGTCGTTATTTATACAGGACTCTCTTTCTACCCATCTTATTTATTTTTGCTTCATTACCGAGAAAACGTTCGAGTGGCTTTTATACATTCAATTTTGTAGAAGGCAACTGGCTCGAGGGTAATGTTGTAGTACGAGTGTGAGAGAGATAGAGAGATAATTGGGTAAATATTAAATTAAACGGAGTTAGTGGGGAGGTGGGGGCGACGTAAACAAGAGAAACACGGAGAAACAAACGTTCGACGTTTGCAGGCAACCAGACTGTCGCAGTCGAGAGGAATAAACGGATACAGTTTTAATCCCTTGGTAATGGGGCAAAGAAGGGTGGTGGGATAGTGTTTGGGGGGGGGTTTAGAGGGGATCAAATTAGTTTCTTAGCTCCGGCAGGAAAGGGATGAAAGAGAGATGCAGGAAGAAGTCTCGAGGTAATGCAATTAAATTGAGAAACGCTCCACTAAAAGGTTCTCCTCGCCGGGGATGAAACCCTTCAGCTAAAAATAATATAATGACGTTGAGTCGACTAAAACCCTCTCCGCTCCGCCCGGAAACGGACCCTCGACATCCGCATCTGCAAAAAAAAGCCTTTAATCGCCCTCTATCGGCTAACAAAGAAATGTACGTCTTACGACTACGCATCGTAAGACGTACGAAAGCTCGGAACAAAGAAGATTAAGCTCGCTGAAATGGTCAAAGGAGGGAAGAAATTTAATGAATTATCATTTCGGCGTATTGATTCGGATTATCGGAGAACGAGCTAAGGAATGAATATACAGGGTGGTCCATCCAGAAACGATTGACAGTTTTTTGACAGCTGAAAGAAAATGAAGATACACATTGAGACACTGACCGAATGACGTGACATCTATTGGATTTTCAATTATGTATAATAATCATTCTAAAATGTTACAATTTGATTGAAATTACATGAAATTGTTTAGATTTAGGAGAAAAAAATCTAATGAATTATCAATTCGGTGTATTGATTCGGATTATCGGAGAACGAGCTAAGGAATGGATATGCAGGGTGGTCCATCCAGAAACGATTGACAGTTTTTTGACAGCTGAAAGAAAATGAAGATAAAAATTGAGACACTGACCGAACGACGTGACATCTATTGGATTTTTCAATTATGTACAATAATCATTCTAAAATGTTACAATTTGATTGAAATTACATGAAATTGTTTGGATTTAGGAGAAAAAAATCTAATGAATTATCAATTCGGTGTATTCATTCGGATTATCGGAGAACGAGCTAAGGAATGAATATACAGGGTGGTCCATCCAGAAACGATTGACAATTTTTTGACAGCTGGTCAAGGGAAAGAAAATGAAGATACAAATTGAGACACTGACCGAATGACGTGACATCTATTGGATTTTCAATTATGTACAATAATCATTCTAAAATGTTACAATTTGATTGAAATTATATGAAATTGTTTGGATTTAGGTGAAAAAAAATCTAATGAATTATCAATTCGGCGTATTTGAAGCGAAGCGGAATTACAGCCCCCTCCGGGTTGCTCAATTAGGCAAATCATTTCGTTGCTTTGAGCAATCTGCGGCCGGCGCAACCTCATTAATTTGCATCGGTAATTGCGGCTGGATCGGACATACGTCCACATGCTAAAAAAGAAACCGTTTCTTCGTCTTCTTTGAGCCGTACAACAAAACCGGAAGAACAATTGGAATCTCAAAGGAGTCATCAATGCAAATGGAGTTGCATAACTCGGATTCTTTTGACGTGTCACGTATGTGTGTGTGTGCCAATTGCCGACGGCGCACTTTGTAATTACGCCAAATGAAATTGGCGTCTCGGAATAAATTTGATAATTTCGCGATAATTTGAGGACGCCTCAAGGGTTGGATGGAAAAGGATTTGGAAGCACTTCCTGGTTCTACTTTGTTCTTGTCTGATTTCAGAGAGGAGGAGGAGGAGAGAAGAAACTAAATAGAAGTAGTGTGTGTGTGTTAGGGAAAGAGATGGGGCAAACGAGCCGAAAACTTTAATGAACTTCCCAACCCCAACTACTCCCCTAAACATCCGACAACACAAACACTAAAGCGCACACCCTCGCACAATAAAATTGCAATAAAGAGAAAATAAATGTGGGAAAGAACGCACACAACCAGACACACTCCCGCCGCTATTCAGTCGATCTATTTGTGTGTGTGTGTGTTTTGTTGCAGATATCTTTCTTCAAGTTTACGGAAGGAAAAACGATTGCTCTGTCAAAATCACTGGCAATAGAAAAAACTTTAGAAATATCACTTTACTACGCTATTATACTCGAGTACAATGCGCAAAATTAAAACATTAATTAGTGTTTTTGGTAGATCTGACAAAAGCTGTCAACTGTCACATTGACAAATCTAAATAATTTCCAGTAATTTTTTCATTACGTTGATGATGTTTTTGTTTATACCAAGATTGACATAAATTGGGGTCGAGTGAGCAAATTCGGTATGATTGTTGAAGGGTTCGTTGGGGGGGCGGCTACGGCTGTGGCGGCGGCCAGGAGGGTTCAATTCCGCGTGTGCTGCTCACTGACACGTTATTGAGTCGATAATCAAAGGTAACGCTATTACAGATCCCCTCGGATGGGCTATAAACCAATTACGCGATTACTGTCGTTCCGCTTTTTGCGTCCCTCCAAACCGCAAAACGAAAACAAAATCGCCAATTTCAGCTGTGAAAACCAATTATTTTCATTTCATTTAACCGATATGTAACTATTGGCGTTTTCTTACAATGTGCAGTCAAAGTTTTCTAAGCCTCGAAAAATCGAAGTCTTCACAAAACATCAATTTACTCAATAACTATAAA